TTTGGTGCATCTGGCATTGGCCACTGTTTGAAGACGGGATACTGGGCTGGATGGACCTTTGCTCTGACACATATGACCATTCTTATATTCTTATGTGCCTTTGGGACAGCTAAAATGGCCTCGTAAGAGGGCACTATTTGTTGTCTAATATGGGTGGCAGGTTTCCCGGGATTGTTTGCTAAGTAGAACCAGAAACCTGGAGACAAATCCTCAACTGGCATAAACTGATATATAGTTTAACTGAAGTAAATGGAGTATAATTTACACCAGCTGAGAATCTGCTCCATAACAACACAGAAAACAATGAGGACAAGTGAGAGTACTGCGTAAAAAGGCAATGAGTTGAACCCACTGAGTGAGTCAGCGCAGACCCTTACCTGATGTAGATCATCAAAGCTCATTTTGACAGGATCTTGACTGATAAATACCTGCTGCTGATCTAGCTCTGAGATTTAAAGTGTTAATGTTCAATTAAGGAAGCAATATACAAATCCTGAGAATGCTGTGTGGTAAAACAGGAAAAGATAACATTTTCCTAAGTATGCATGGGAAAATCCCTAGGTTACATGTGAAAAATATTTATGATCTCCCTTCTGACTTCTCATATGACACTCATATAGGTTTGAGGTACTTGATTTGAAAGACAAAAAGGCTTATAAAATGAGAATTATACTAGAAATTTATTTTTCTCTTATGATTCTGCAGAAATCCCTAGACCTCTCCAAGTTTCAAGAGGAAAGCTTCAGATCTCAGTTTTCGCTTAGGAGAGGAATTTGAGCCTTAAATTATTCAGTCATAACAGAAAAACTTTTGGTGGCAAAGAATTCTTATGCTATGTGATATCTCCTAGGTCACAAAGAAATTAATAAATCAATTCTTGTTCAATGTGTGCAAAATATTACATTTAAAAGCTGAATTTTCGTAATATTTTCCCCTGGAAAATCTTATGGAAATACTTTTTGCTTAGTACAAATTCATGTATTCCATTCATTAAGGGGAAGCCAATCAAATGCAATTATATAATTCATCTGGTTCTATTAAAATTAGCATGGATTAAAGTTCAGTCTAATCCCGAGGACATCTTGAAAGGTACTTTGGCACCTGAATAGCTAATTCTCTGGAAACTGATGTATTCAATACACAGGTTATCTATAAATCAGTAAGGCCCTACCAAATTCACGGCCATGCAAAGTGTGTCACGGAACCTGAAATCTGAAAGGTATAGTAGGCAAATGTAATTATTCTCTCTTTACAAATGAGGGAAACTGGGACAAAACAAAGTACGTCTCTCACCTAAATTCAAACATTAGGTTAGTAGCACTGCCAGAAAAAGTGCCCAGAATTTTTTATTCTCAGTCCTTCATTTTAACTACACTGACAAAACCATCTCCTAGCCCCATGAATAAAGCTAGAAAACAAAAAGTACCAGAATATTACCTAAAGGTCCATCACTTTCCCCTGATACCAGCAAAAACTAGCTGCATAATGGAAGCAATGAACTCAGCCCTTGGTGGCACAGAGTGACCCATCCAGAGAGTACTGAAGAGCCCTAAAAAGGAGCTATGTCATTCTCCCTTGACCGCAAGGTCTTTTTGGCACCAAAATACAAGAGAATTCCACACCCAAAGAAAAACCCCAGAGGTCAATCTTTAAACAAGCCCCATTTAAACTCCAGTTCATGCAAACTGCACAGAAACAGGGTTATTATTAAGATGTGAAGATATGATTAGAGAAAGCAACCATGGACCCTAAGATAATTTTTTAATCACACAGTCAGGATTTACCACTGACTGTCCCAGTGTTTCATTCAGGAAACATGCTGTAACTGCATTATATCCATTACATCCATGAGAATGGAGCTAGAAGGGTTTTTTCCCCCTACAGCTGGCGTCTTGTATATCAGGATATAGTCAAGAATAAAACACTAGATTCTCTACGATTCTTCATACATTTCCTCAGGATTATTATGTATCCATAGGCATGACTGATGACTTCATGTAATGGGCAAATCAAAAGTATATGAACAGAAGGGGGGAAAAGTAACACAGGGAAACCCATAGTTTGCCACTTTGAATCTTTTCCTGGATATTTGACAAGTAAATCCTGTTGTCTAATAGTTATATTTGCATTTATCCATTTTTAATGTTTATCATAGAATCATAGAACACTAGGACTGAAAGGGACCTTGAGAGGTCATCGAATCGAGTCCCCTGCCCTCATGGCAGAACCAAATACTGTCTAGACCATCCCTGATAGACATTTATCTAACCTACTCTTAAATATCTCCAGAGATGGAGATTCCACAACCTCCCTGGGCAATTTATTCCGGTGTTTGACTACCCGGACAATTAGGAACTTTTTCCCTAATCATAGAATCATAGAATAATAGGACTGGAAGGAACCTCGAGAGGTCATCGAGTCCAGCCCCCCGCCCTCAAGGCAGGACCAAGCTCCATCTACACCATCCCTGACAGATGTCTATCTAACCTGTTCTTAAATATCTCCAGAGAGGGAGATTCCACCACCTCCCTTGGCAATTTATTCCAATATTTGACCACCCTGACAGTTAGGAATGTTTTCCTAATGTCCAATCTAAACCTCCCCTGCTGCACTTTAAGCCCATTACTCCATGTCCTGTCCTCAGAAACCAAGAGGAACAAATTTTCGCCTTCCTCCTTGTGACACCCTTTTAGATATTTGAAAACCACTATCATGTCCCCCCTTAATCTTCTTTTTTCCAAACTAAACAAGCCCAGTTCATGAAGCCTGGCTTCATAGGCTTCTCTAGACCTTTAATCATTCTTGTCACTCTTCTCTGTACCCTTTCCAATTTCTCCACATCTTTCTTGAAATGTGGCGCCCAGAACTGGACACAGTACTCCAGCTGAGGCCTAACTAGTGCAGAATAGAGCGGCAGAATGACTTCACGAGTTTTGCTTACAACACACCTGTTAATACAACCTAGAATCATATTTGCTTTTTTGGCAACAGCATCACACTGTTGACTCATATTCAACTTGTGGTCCACTATGACCCCTAGATCCCTTTCCGCCATGCTCCTTCCTAGACAGTCGCTTCCCATCTTGTATGTATGGAACTGATTGTTCCTTCCTAAGTGGAGCACTCTGCATTTCTCCTTATTAAACCTCATCCTGTTTACCTCCGACCATTTCTCTAACTTGCTAAGGTCATTTTGAATTATGTCCCTATCCTCCAAAGAAGTTGCAACCCCACCCAGTTTGGTATCATCTGCAAACTTAATAAGAGTACTCTCTATCCCAATATCTACATCATTGATGAAGATATTGAACAGTACGGGTCCCAAAACAGACCCTTGAGGAACTCCACTTGTTATCCCTTTCCAGCAGGATTTAGAACCGTTAACAACAACTCTCTGACTACGGTTATCCAGCCAATTATGCACCCACCTTATCGTGGCCCTATCTAAGTTATATTTGCCTAGTTTATCAATAAGAATATCATGCGAGACCGTATCAAATGCCTTACTAAAGTCTAGGTATATGACATCCACCGCTTCTCCCTTATCCACAAGGCTCGTTATCTTATCAAAGAAAGCTATCAGATTAGTTTGGCATGACTTGTTCTTCACAAACCCATGCTGGCTATTCCCTATCACTTTATTACCTTCCAAGTGTTTGCATATGATTTCCTTAATTACCTGCTCCATTATCTTCCCTGGGACAGACGTTAAACTGACCGGTCTATAATTTCCTGGGTTGTTCTTATTCCCCTTTTTATAGATGGGCACAATATTTGCCCTTTTCCAGTCTTCTGGAATCTCCCCTGTCTGCAAATAAAATATCTATTTTATATTTAATATGATGGTCAATCAATCATGAATATCAAAGAACTCATGATTAAGAAGCAATGCCTTCAGTGTGAGATTTCAGTATGCTGGAACTTAAGTAAAATTGATCTCAAAACCTGGTAATTTCAGAATTGCTCAAAGTTTTCATTCCTTACTTACAAAAAACATGAGCCCAAAGGATTAATGAGGTGATGAGCTATTGGTATGGCAAATAGCAGACATCATATTCCAGATGATGATGACTAGGACACCAAAGGGTTAATAATATTCAATGCTATTGATAAAAATAAAAGAATTCAGAGAGGTTAATAAGGTTCTATACTATGAATAAGCAGAAATCAAAGAGTTAACAGTGTTCTGTAGCATATATATTGTAAACAGAAATCCAAAGGGTTAATGAAATTATAGGCTACTGGTGGAGTAAACATGAATTACATGTTTATAGGACTCAAGATTATAGATCCAGTAAGCAGGCATCAATGAGTTAATAAACAGTTCTATCCTAGAGCTATGGTAAACATATCAAAGGGTTAATAGAATTATATGCTAGAAATATGGTAAAAAGGAAACAAAGCTTTAAAGAAGTTCCCAGCTGTGAACTTGCTACACAGGTATGAAAGAGTTAATGTAAAGGATACATGCACTGAAGTGCCAAATGTAAAGACCAAATATTACTTAGAAAAACTAATTTGATTACCCAAACCTCCTACTAAGAATACTATATGTGTGTCCATTCCATCTGTCAAGATATCTGTGAAACAGGTTAATTGAACTCAAATTAATGCAACATTAATTCACTTAATTTCAACAGCCAGCAGAATGCTTTCCATAGTGCTTACTATGCACAGGCTAGCTCTGCATTTCAACTTTTTCCTATGAAATCCAATAGGCACAGTAACCTGTTACTTGCTTTTTCATTTTCTGCCTCAGCGCTACAACTGACTCATTCTGTTGCCCATGGCTCCTGGGTATACAGTCTTTCTGCAGCGTGCTGCATTATTTCTGAGTTAATCTGTCCACGTTATTTTCTGCTAATGCAGATGTGGGATTTGCTTTCTGTCGCTTTGTAGACACTTGTCGAAAAGCCATTTGGAAAGCCTAAACTATGCATAAATCTGCAGAATGAATGTTTTCCTTCATTCACTTGCTCCTTTTATTTGATTTCTTGTAGGCCTCTGCGACAGAAATGGAGAAAATAAGGTAAGTCAGACAGTTTATTTACATCTCATTATAGTCAAGAAATATTCTAGTGCATCATAGGTAATATAGGGTCTTCAGAAAATTTTGCTTAATATGATGAGTGTGAAAAATTGGATTGCATGATAATGTGTCAGAGGAGAGCTGTGGTTTAGAGACAATAGAAAGTGAATGTGGTTAGGCTAGTAAATTTGTTTTGCAGACATGTTAATTCAGAAGGGATACTCTACACACAAACATGTTTTCATTACCAGGTGCAGAGTATATCGGATTATATAAATGTTATAGTCACTTGTCCATTTAGTGCAAGAGTATGCCACTCTGTTTTAATGAGGAAGGTGAATCAATAATTCATAAAAAAAAACTAATGAAAATATAGGCCTGACTCTCAAAGCATCTAATTACTGTAGTTTGTTTCAATGTAATGCTGTAATATTGGTGTTTGATTTCTGTTTTATATTTCTTGATTGCCCAGATAAATCTTGTCTCTTCTGTGTTTCAAATGTTGTTATACTGTACCAGTTTATGAGCACAGCTTCCTGCTTTAAGCAAAGGGAGATGGCTTTTATAAATATATAAGTTTCCCATCTCATGTCAAAATGTAAGCCTGCTTTGGGGGATATTGCTTTTGTTTGTGTTGTAAAGAAAAAAAGAGAGAGCATGAATTGTAGCCATTTTTAATCAAATACAGCCTACTAAATACAATCCACATTATCAACTGATATATGGAAATACTGGACTATTGATTATCCTTAAAGAATTTTACAAGGTTTATTTTCATGTACGATTATATCTACAAGACTTTCAATTTGTTTTCAGCTAGTAAGCCCAAATGTATTCTCAGGATCTACTGAGGCAGTTTGAACAAGAGGGCTAACCGATAAAGCACAAATCTTAGATGTATTCACGTTTAAAAAACTACTAAGTTTGTTAAGCAAATTAAGGGAAGTTGCAGTATTCCAGGAACAACCAGGGAAAGGTAGAAATGTGAAGTTGTAAGAGAAACCAAAGGTCTGAAGTTATCATTTGAAGAATTCTGGGCAGGAAGCACAACACAGTCCCTTGGTAGAGTGTTAGTTGGAAAAGAGTGGGAATGAGTGACCGTCCTGGTATAATTTATTAATTACGTTGGTGCTGATTTTACATTTCCATGAAGTGTTGTCTCATGGGAATCAAAGGGGTCTAATCTGTTGGCTTGATAATACACTGGTGTGATATAGTGTAGTTATTTATATACCAAAGAATATACATAAGTGCGACAAATCCTCAAGTTAATGCAAGTTTGGCCTGAGTAATGACTGAGTAAGAACCTTGAGATCTGGCCATGCATTAAACAAAACTTTGACTGTAATGAGACAAACCCCTGTGACATATGCACACCCATATTTTCATGCACAAATTGCTTAATACTGCAGGTAAATAATTGTTTGTTTTTCCTCTTGTGTGCACAGATATGGAGACATTTACAAATACTTTCCCCCTCTAAGTATGTCTTGATGCTTGTGTTTAACAAACACAGCTCTGTCTGTATTTGCAAATAATAAGCTGTAGAGCCTAGGAGAAGAATGAATTCAGAAATAAATACAACAAAGGCAAAATTGTGCTCTGACATGAGATACTTAGCAGCTGACTAGAAAACATTAACCTAAGGATATGAACATTTGGGAAATGGATGTTGCAGCTGCCATGGACATGAAACTTCATTGAAGTTAGTCACTCTGTGCGTGGATCTAGTACAAAAAAAAATTCAAACCCTACTAGCCCAATGTCACTGTCACTGAAGTAAATGGATGATTTGCTATTGACTGCTGTGAGAGCAGGATCAGTCTGTACAATAGTTTCTTGACATTTGTAGCTTTTTGTTTACATTATATATATATTATTTTACAAAACAGCCATTTGTTTCCATTGCATAACTCACCATAAGCTCTGTCTGCCCTAGAGGGGTTTAGGATTAGGACAGTAGGCTAGTATAGGTGGTCATTGGCAGCTACTTGGCGAAAGTTACACAGGTGGAGTATGCTCAGCACCTTAAGGCCAATGTCCTTGGTTTCATCAGTACTACAGTACAGTACAGGTTGAACCTCTCTAGTCCAGCACTCTGGTCCATTGACATCTGTAGTCTGGCATGATTTTAGTTAGCTGGATGTCCACTTATCCTGGGTGTGGCCAAGTTTCCCACAGTAACAAAGTTTGTTTGCAGCCACCAGTCCTGGCTCTCAGTGTTCTGTGCTGTTATTTAGCTCAAACTTACCTCTACTTGTCCTCTAACAGCCCAGTAAGCAGTAGAAGTGTTGGTGATATTTCTAGACAATATTGACCTCCCATGGTCTGACAAATTTTCTGATTTGGCATCAATCAGTTCCTGAGGGATTCAACCTGTGCTGCGTGTAGCTGAGAGGGTTTCTTGACAGTTGGCATACGAGGACAAGTACAGTATCATGATCAGAGCCATTCCTGTCCTGCCTTGCATATGCACACATTGCGCTCTTCATGTGCTCTGCCTCTTCTGCCACCAGCTTCTGCCCCATCCACTGGGTGCTAAGCTGCAAAGGCAGGTGTCATACATCAGCATCTGGGAGGGGCTGCTGGCAATGCGAGTAGCATGGAGTAGAATGCCAGCAGCTGAGCTAAGGTGGGAAGAAGGAGATGGGTGCCAGGACAGAGGGAGAAATGGGGGGTGAGAAAGAGAATCATGTTTATCTGCATCTTACCTGTCTTCTTGCATTCTATTCCCCATTTCAAAAATAAGCCTTTTAAATATCAGAAATAAGCACAAAAATCCATAAGGCCTACTCAAATGGCAGCCCTTGGAGGCCTCAGGACCAAATATCTGAAGATTTTAAAACCTGATCTTAAAGAAGTCTTACTGTATTGGAGCAAACCCAATGCAACTGAAATGGCCTTTAATGGCTCAGTCAGTCCCACAAGACAAACAATTGCTGACCTAGAGATCTGTCATGCATTAGAATGATTGTGGTGTTCTATTGGCCCAGACAGACGGCTAGCAGTAGTGCTCAATACTAATATTCAAGAAACCCACACTCCAATGTTATGTTCAACCTCTTGCTACTCCAGCTGGGCATGCTGTGGCAGCTGAGCTCAGGAAACTGATGTGGAGAGATTTAGCTCACATCCCATAGCTCAATAAGAATTCCACTTGCTGCTCTCAAGGGGTCAAGGTGGTTACCCTCTGTGTTGTACCCTGACCACCCCAACTGTGGGCTAGAATTCCAATCAGACAGGTGGATGGGGGTAGGAGGAGAAGGAGAGCGGGAGATTTTCAGAATTTAGTCTGGCATGTGGCGAACTTCCTACATAAGTAGAAGCATGCTATTTTTCTGTAAAATTTCAGCTGGAAAAATAATTGCTAAATGAAATCTTCACACTGTGAAGAATCCTTAGCTGTATAGAATAGTGTTTACAATAGCTAGAGGTGCCAATATATTAGGCAGGAAGTAAAGCTAACTACTAATCACAAACCTCTTGGGGATCAGCATTTATGTAGGTTGGGTGTGCATGTTTATACAGACACTTTAAACGTTAATTACTTCTGAGTACAACCTTTTAAGCACAATTTTGGATTCATTGCTCAAATGTATCTACCAAGAAGGGCTGGATGTTTCAGACCTATGGTATGTAACAAAGTTAGGTTACTAATATGCTGAGTGCCACATATTTGGGGTGATCTATAAAATGGAGCATAAATTAAATATAATTGTATTTAGCATTACCTAGTTATTTTATTTTTCATGCTTCCAGCCTTGCACATCCATGTTTTTCAGTGCCCCAAGATGTGGCAACTCAAATGATTGTGCATTCAGATTCAGAGGTGAAAACTGACCCACAGGCCAGATGCTGATAGCTTTCCCCACATGGGATAGTCTTTTTTCCCCTACAGGCAATCCTCCTAAGGTCAATGGGACTATTTGTTCAGTTAGATACTCTTCAACCTGAATAAAGGTATCAAAGTATATCCCTGAATTTATAATGGCAATCCAGACACACCAGGAATCAATTTTAGACCCACACAATACAGAAACAAGATGTATTATATGTCCCTATACCAAAGGTTTAAATTGATGACTCCTCCTGGTAATGCCTTTTTTGTACCTCCTATTCACATCACTGGTACAGCAAGATCATGACAAGTAATTCATTTAATCATAGTGCATGGAGCAGTAACTATGTGGTTGGTTCCTTATTGAGGTTTTTACATTCTTTTTAACATTAGTTGTAATAATCATGAAAGTAATAGGACTTCCATGACAATTCACCCAAGTCAGTCATTTTTGTAAAACATCTTAGAGCCTCAACCACCATGTGAGGTGAGATGAACTGATTTGCCCAAAGACCACACTTATAGAGCCAGTTCTAGAACCAGTCTCTCCTGATTTCTCATACTCTGCCTTATTACTGGATAGTTGAACTAATCTGGGATAACTAATGGCTCTGTTTATTGATTAGTGATTTTTTAAAAGCTGGCCAATGACTCCCAGGCACTGATTTTCTTATTGTAGTTAAGTAAAAAAATGAACGCATACATGTCCATTAGATCATGCTACCTTCCCACCACTTGTTGCAGGTCTCTTCACATGCTAGCATATATATATATATGCTTGTCACTAAGTTCCTTCCATTCTGCCTTGCCCTCCTCTGTAGTTTGCTCTCTTTCTCCTACCTCCTCTAATTACTATTTGCTTAAACAAGAATTTCACCACTGGACAGCTCCAGCAGTCTTTGCAACAGTGAGAGCCCTAGTATAGACAAGCTTCTGAAGCCATTGGTGTTCCTAATGCTATGCCATTTAATCCTGTTAATGGGAGTTCTAAACTGCTCAGTTCTCACTGTCTCATCCTTGAGATAATTATCCCTTATAACTAAATCTTCAAGGAGATATTACAGACAGTAAGCAGGCTGAGGGCTCAGGCAAGTCCTCACAGGGATGAAGGAACAGAATGCATTAAGCTGTTATATTGTCACTGCTACAGGTAGGTATTTTT